ACTCATAAAACAGGATTCATTTCAGGGATGCAAAGCTGGTTCAATATAAGCAAATCAATTAATATTATTCATCACATCAACAGGAGCAAGAATAAGAACCACATGGTTATCTCAATAGATGCAGAAAAAACATTCGAAAAGATCCAACACCCCTTTATGATGAAGGTATTGGAAAAATTAGGAATCCATGGAACATTCCTCAATACAATAAAGGCTGTGTATGACAAACCTACAGCCAGCATTATACTTAATGTTGAAAAACTAAAGCCATTTCCTCTGAAGTCAGGAGCAAGACAAGGATGTCCACTCTCCCCACTTCTCTTCAATCTAGTATTAGAATGCCTAGCTACAGCAATGACAAGAAGCAGACATAAAGGGGATCCAAATAGGGAAAGAAGAAATAAAACTCTCCCTCTTTGCAGATGACATGATCTTGTATTTAAAGAATCCCATAGACTCCACTCCCAAATTACTCAAGCTGATTCAAAACTTTGGCAAAGTAGCAAAGTATAAAATTAACCCCCCAAAATCAATGGCTTTTCTGTATGCCAACAATGAGAAAAGTGTGGCTGAAATTAGGAAAGCAACTCCATTTGTAATAGCCCCACAAAAAATAAAATACCTAGGAATTAACTTAACCAAAGAAGTGAAGGACCTCTATGATGAAAACTTTAAAATCTTGAAAAAGGAAATCAAAACAGAACTTAGAAAATGGCAAAACCTCCCATGCTCCTGGATTGGAAAGATTAACATCGTGAAAATGGCAATACTTCCCAAGGCTATCTACAAATTCAACGCGATACCTATCAAAATTCCAACCTCATTCTTCAAGGAAATAGAAGAGGCAATCTAAAAATTCATATGGAACAATAAAAGACCCCGAATAGCAAATACGCTCCTCAACGGAAAGAATATTGCTGGAGGAATATCAATACCAAATTTCAAACTCTACTGTAAAGCCATAGTAATCAAAACAGCTTGGTACTGGCATAAGAACAGACCTCAGGACCAATGGAATAGAATTGAAAACCCAGAAATGAACCTACAGACCTATAGCCATCTAATCTTCGATAAGGGAGCTAAAACAATAGAATGGAACAAAGACAGCCTCTTCAGTAAATGGTGCTGGCAAAATTGGTTAACTATTTGTAGAAAACTAAAGCTAGATCTTATATATCACCCTGCACCAGAATCACCTCCAAATGGATCAAAGACCTCGAAGTCAAAGCAGACACTCTGAAAACATTACAGGATGAAATAGGAGAAACCCTAGGTCTCCTTGGCTCAGGCCGAAATTTTCTGAATAGAGACCCGGAAACACAACAAATCAAAGAAAGGTTGGACAAATGGGATTGCATGAAGTTGCAGAGCTTCTGCATGGCAAAGGACATAGCTAGCAAGATCAATAGAAAGCCCACGGATTGGGAGAAGATCTTCACTAGCCATATAACAGACAAGGGTCTCATATCTAAAATATACTTGGAACTCAAAAAATTAAATCCCCCAACAACAAATTCTCAAAGAAACAACTGCCCAATAAATAAGTGGGCTAAAGACTTAAAGAGAAACTTCTTTGAAGAAGAAAGAAGGATGGCCAATAGACACATGAAGAAATGCTCAACATCCCTAGTCATAAAAGAAACGCAAATCAAAACAACATTGAGATACCACCTCACTCCAGTTAGAACGGCAAAAATCAAGAACTCTAACAACAACAGATGCTGGAGGGGATGTGAACAGAAGGGAACCTTACTTCATTGTTGGTGGGAATGTAAACTTGTTCAACCACTTTGGAAAGGAGTATGGAGGTTCCTCAAAAGACTTCACATAGAGCTCCCCTATGACCCAGAAATCCCACTTTTGGGCATTTACCCAAATGTTTACAAACAAGACCACACTAAAGCTACCAGCACAACTATGTTTATTGCAGCATTATTTACCATAGCTAAGATATGGAACCAACCCAGATGCCCCTCAGTAGATGAATGGATCAAGAAAATGTGGTATATATACACAATGGAATTCTATGCCTCCATCAGAAAGAATGACATTGCCACATTTGTTTGGAAATGGAAAAACTTGGAAAAAATTATATTAAGTAAAGTAAGCCAGGCCCAAAGAAACATAGGTCCCATAGTTTCCCTTATGTGCAATATCTAGTATATGTATGAGTCAAGCAGAAAAGGTCAGATAATGTGATGTTAGGAAAATGAACCCTTAGATATGTATTGTAATGTTTTTTTTTCTTTCATGCATTTGTTTCTAACACATTTATAAGATTATTTCTTTGTTGCTTTGTATGTCCCTCCCCCACAGTATAACCCTTGCTTTCACTATATTTGATGTCAGTGTAACTTGTGGTGGAGATGGGGAAAAACAAGTCGTTTAAGGATACAGGTGGACCTGTTGCAACAATGAGAAATACAAGTTGTCATGTCGAAAACAAGCTTTACAACGTTGGTGAGGGGAGGTGGGGGAAGGACTGGGTAGGGGGGCGAGGGGAAGCTGGGAAGGGATGTGAAGGGTAAACAAAAGAGGAGGCTGCAATGCTTGATAAGAAATGTATGCATTATCCTGCCCATGTAATTGTAACCCCTCTGTACAGTATGTTCACAAAATAAAATAAAATAAAATGAAAAAAAAAAGAAATGTACTCATTATCTTGCCCATGTAATTGTAACCCCTCTAAATGGTATTTTCACAATAAAAAAAGAATACCATACAGTCACTAACATATTTATAATATGATAATGATATGAAAAAAGATATGATTTTGAGGACAGCAAAATGAAAAAGTATATAAACAAAAAGGGGATTTTCTGGCAGAGAAAACTAGTAGAAGTAGAAAAGAGAAAGGAGAAGGTACTGAGAGATGAACGTGATTGAAGTGTGTGTGCGTGTGTGTGTGTGTGTGTGCACACACGCACGTGTAAAAATAGCACAGTGAAATCTACTAATGCTGCTTATATAAAGGGAACAAGACCTCAATGATGACATACACATGGATAAAGATAGGAGATATATATATATATATATATATATATATATATATATATATGTACCGTGAAATATTCTATAGCCATAAAGAAAAATGAAATCATATCATTTGCAGCAAAATGGATGGAATTGAGGGACATCATGTTGAAAAAGATACCATGCCCCAAAATGTAAATACCATGTTTTCACTTATATGTGTAAACAATACCTAAAATACATACATGTTCATAGATATGCATATATATGTATATATAACAATATACATAAATAGGAATTTATTCTACCTATTGGACTTTGTAGAGGAATGAGGACAAGGAACAGGAGGATAAAGAAAGATGGAGAGTAAATAATTCTGAAATACATTGTAACTATGCATGAATATGAAATTAGGAATTTCAGTGATAACTGCTGACAGGAGTGAGTTTAGGTGGGCAGGAAAAGGGAAAGCTATAGAGAAGGCTATTCTGATTAAAGTGTAATGTAGGCACAGCTGAAAAACCATGGTGAAACTCCTTAGTACAATTAATGCACATTAAAAATTAATGACAGAAGTGCAAAACAGACTCTGTTTGGATGGGTAGCAGCAGGAATGGACCGGGCTAATGGAGAGGTCAAATGAGGATGAATATGGTTAAAGTTGTTTATTTGCATGAGTGAAAATGGAACTAGAAAATGTATTAGAACTGCTCTAAAGGAAGAAAGTTAAGGAAGAGTAACAAGGGGGGTGAATTTGTACAGGATACTTTGGATGCATATATGGAATTGTCACAATGAAACATTCCTTGTACAACTAATGTACACTAAAAATCATTTTTGAGCTGGGCATCAGTGGCTCACACCACTCAGGAGGCTGAGATCTGAGGGTTGCAGTTCAAAACCAGCCCAAGCTTGAAAGTCCATGAGATTCTTATCTCCCCATTAACCACCAAAAAAACAGAATTGGATCTGTGGCTCACATGGCAGAGTGCTAGCCTTGAACAAAAATGCTTAGGAATAGCACCCAGGCCCTCAGTTCAAGCCCCAAGACTTGCACCAAAAAAATAATTTTTTAAAAAACAAGGAGTGAGGGTTAGGCATCAGTAGTTCACAATTGTAATCCTAGTTACGTGACAACAACGGAATGGGGAGATAATGATGTACGACCATACCAGGTTGGAAAGCTCACAAAACTCTTTCTCAACCCATAGTTGCATGCAGTAGTGTATGCTTGCCATTCTAAGCTACAATGGAGGCTGATATAGGGAGGATCAGAGTTCCAGGTTCAACCTGGGCAAAGAAGTCCACAAGACTCCATCTCAAGGGAAGATGGATGTCAAGCACTTGTCATCTAAGCAACAATAGAAAGCCTAAAACAAGTAGATTTCAGTCCTTGCACATGCCCAGACTAAAAGCAAAAACCACATCTCAAAAATAACTACCACAAAACAGGACTGAAGTGGTACTGGTAATGGCCTAGCAAGTGTGAGGTCCTGAGTTCAATTCCTAGCACTGCTAAAAAAAAGGGGGAGGAGGGGTTGCAGAAGTTAAGTTGGTATGAAGAGGGAGTGAATTTCATTTAAATACATTTTACACCAGTATGGAAATATCACCTCTGAAACACCCCTTACAATTAATTTATGCCTACAAACTATACATAACCTTATTATCCCCTAAATTCAAATATAAACATTTTTATAAGCACAGAAAAAAGATACATCAAAATGTACATGGCAATTTCTAGTATGAATACATGGAAATATATTTTTTAAATTTGTTGCTGACAGTTGACTACAGGATGTGGGGTATGTTAGGTACAAATTACTACTGAGCCTCATGTCCTGCTTCTGAACATGTTTTTTTAAGGCTTTCTCTTATTATTGAACCTAGCTCTGATTCATTATGACATCATCTTTCAGTCAACCCTATCACACATAGCACTCTTTCTCCCTCCAAAACCTCCCTTCTCCCCTCAAGCCATCTGCACCCACTAACAGCCCCCATTTGTGGAAACTTTGTCTGCTCACCATTATTGTATACTGTACCCTCGTTGTCTTTTGTGTAAAAAACCCCATGGGGCTGCAAGCTGAATGGCTGTGAGGCTCGGTTGTGGAAATCCACTAGAATGGTGTCACCCACCTCAGCCCGGATCACTGGCCCTAAAGAATGGAGAAGAGAAAGAATGAGAATGAGAATGAGCCAGATGCCCATGGTTCACACCTGTAATCCTAGCTATTCAGAAGCTGAGATGTGAGAATCACAGTTCTGTGAGACTCTATCTCCAATTAACTACCAAAAAGCCAGAAATGGAACTGTGGCTCAAAGTGGTAGAGAATTAGCCTTGAGCACAAAAGCTCTGATGTCCAGGGCCCAAGTTCAAGTAATATGACCAGTTAAAAAGAAAAAAGTAAAAGAAAAGAAAATGACAATGATGGGGGAAGGAAACAGGAGAGAAGGAAAGAAAATATAAGTGAAGGTAGATATACTAGAATACTCTTCAGAATAACAACAATCCATTCCAACTATATTTATTTAGAGTTATTAAAAGTACTATAAAATTATCTCATATTGACCCTCAAGAATCATTTTAAAGCATACATGGCAGGAGTCATTATGTCCATTTCACAGATGAAGAAATTTAAGTCCAGAGAGGTAGAACTGACCAAATTCAAATGGCTGCAGAGTCATAACCTAAGGGCAGGACATTCTCCAGACTGTCAGGTCTGCTCCCATTTCCCCTGACTTCATTGTCTGAGCTCCCTTAGCTGTATCTCCTGACAGGTCTCATCTAAGATCTCAGCTCACCTCACTCTTAACCCTATTCAGAGCAAGGACAATTATTATGGCCTCTCTCTAGGGTCAGGATTCAGCCACCTAGCCATAACTTTGAGATTGTTTTGTGCTACACTACTCACCTCTAACCTATTTTGAGTCACTTCAAGGCCAACCAAAAATACTAAGGCAATGCTCTGGGTTTCTATATTGGCTCTAACTATAGGTCAGACTTAATACCTTCGTTTCTACACCTACTACTTCTACCTCTGCTCAAGGACTGGGTACCCACACTGAACCCCAGTCAACTAAAAAGTCCGTCCTACTCATCACCATCTCTCTTTACCAGAGAGGACTGTTTTTCTTCATAACCGCTCCCTGTCTAACTAACATAAAACCTGGTATCCATTTTCAGAACTACAATCAATTGGCACATACCTATTCCAGAGTACATTACATTACTTTCATTCCCAAATTTTATCCTGTCTGATCTATTTTACGCCCATTTCACCCAGAAACTAAACCACATCTAAACTTTCTATGCTCTTTAATACTGTGCTTTCAACCTTCAGCATACTTCTCCAAAGTGAGAGTCCAAGCCTATGTCTCTATCTCGCATCATAGCAAACTTGTCTATATCAATCTGCTCTTGGCTTCAGATTGCCAAGAGTCTGACTATTCTCATTGCCTCATATAGCTCTACAAGAATGCCCTAGAGAAACAATACTGCTAATATAGCAGATGATACCATAATGTTCCAGTAGTAATGGAAATATGAGAAACACTGCATACTCTACTTCCATCCTGGAGATTCAGGATAAAGAAAAATAAATCCAAGGTTGTCTTAAGTCCTACACTAAAGAATATTACTTGACTATGCTTAACCTTTTTCAAACACACACAGATACATAATCATTTTTTCATCTCTTGGGGCTCACTTTGGGAGATGCTGAAGTCCAGTGTGCCCCTTAATCATCCTAGGCTCAAATTTCTCAGTCCTTCTCACTTCTCTGGCTCTGCTTAGTAAGTTTCATGAGTTATAAATTCCATACCCTACTAAGATGCAATTGATAAATGAATTGACATGTTGAATTGAAACCCCTTTGTACAACTACTTAAAGATAATAATAAGCCAGGCACCAGTGGCTCTTGCTGGTAATCCTAGCTATTCAGGAGGCTGAGAGGTGAGGATCATAGTTCAAAGCCAGCCAGGGCAGGAAAATCTGTGAAGTCTCTAATTAACTACTAAAAGCCAGAAGTGGCACTGTGGCTCAAGTGGTAGAGCACTAGCCCTGAGCACAAAACCTCAGCTACAGTGTCCAGGCCCTGAGTTCTAGCCCGAAGACTGGAACACAAAAAAGATAAATCATCGTCGTCGTCGTCGTCGTCGTCATAATCATCATTGTCGTCATCATCATCATCATCATCATCCTTACCCAGGATTCCAAGATATTTATCTTCTTCCAGTTGCACTTTGTTAGTGAATGATCCATCCTGAAAAGCTTCATATCGAACTTTCCAGTAACTACCTCCAATCCGGGTAGAGTTCTTCTGGAAGAATTTATCTGAGCCACTGGCACATAAGGACAAAAATAAGTTATTTTACTGAGTTTCAAACAGACACGCATTTCACCCTTAGTGTCATCAGGTTATGGATCATTATGGTTAAGGGAATTTCTGAGATTGTCCTGGATAACTCCCAACAGGGAAGATACTGCTTCTGGTGACACCACTACTAAGAGATTTACAGCTTCTCATTGAGCCGTTCCAAAGACATTGAAGTTATTTCCAAGGAGGTAATCTTCAGTCATGTGCACATGTGCTACCTTAAGTTTGCGACTGAGTATGCATGCATGGCCTTTTGTGGCCATCCTTGGTCAAATGCCACTTTTTTTCTAGATAAGGGTATAAACAGGCATCCTTGAAGGACAAGAAAAATTAATGGGGTGATACCACTGATGAATGGGGTATGGCTACTGGAGGACAGGATGTGATGAGGTGCTGCTATTATATGGACTGCTGTTGTTACAGACAATGATGAATCTATGGATAGAGAGCTTTATATAATCATGATCTCCATCCTCACCTTGCCTGGTGTCTTTCTGCCTGAATCAAGGAGAACCTGAGAAGAGAACCACCTGACAAGCAACGTAGTAATTTTAATTAGTAGAGTGACTCTTCATAACACCTTTAATCCACCCACACCTAGACTTCTCCTCATAGTCTCATCTACATGAGAGGCTGAGGCGGGAAGGACCTTGAGCCCAGGAGTTCAAGGAAAACCTGAGCAATATAGGGAGATTCAATCTCAACAAAATAAACTTCAGTTGAATATGAAAGCCTACTAAATGGATAAACCAGCATAGAGATTCTAGATGCCACCCTAAAATGCAAGTACCAATTTAAATTTCCTGTAAATTCACTCAGTTCTGACTGTTGAAAGAATCCAAGGGTCTTCCCCCTCATCATCTATCAAGTGTTCATTTGTGAAGGAACTGGCCTCACCAGTTTTCCAGTGAACTGATATAATCTAAAGCCTAGCAACTGAGTAAAGCACTGCCTTCCTGCAATATCATCTCCACATCTGAGTCATAGATGGCCCAGGAGAACTTGGAGAAATTCCTCCAAAAGAATATGTGGAATAGCCATAAGACAGAGTGCTTGTTAAACCCCTTTTCAAATGTCTCCTTCAGATTACAGGGACAGGGAATGTGGTTTAGTGGTAGAGTAGTTGCCTAGCATGCATGAAGCCCTGGGTTCAATTCCTCAGTACCACATAAACAGAAAAAGCTGAAAGTGGTGCTGTGGCTTGAGTGGTAGAGTGTTAGCCTTGAGCAAAAGAAGCTCAGGGATACTGCCCAGTCCCTGAGTTCAAGCCCCAGGAATGGCAAATAAAAGACATAGATTACAGAAAAAAAAACAGGGAGGTAAGTGATGGATACAATGAAGAACAGCTGGAGTATAGCCACCTTAATGGCTTTCCTTTCTGAACACAGTCATGGATTACAACAGGATCAACCTCAACCAGTGCTTGGATCTCTTACTGGAGATATAACTTCCAAAAAATAAACTTTAAACAGAAGCATAGAAATGGAGGGACAAAGGGTGAACAAATGCAACAGTGAGTGGTACTAACTAAACATTATGTTGAAAATGAATTATGCAACTTGTGGATGGGAATAGAGAGCAAGAGAAGGTGACACTGTCCAAAACTTAATGTATTCATTATCTGACTTATGAATCTGTAGTTTGTCTGTACATCACCTTTATAATAACGATTAAAAATCCAATATATTGAGTTGGGAATGTGACTTAGTGGTAGAGGGCTTGCCTAGCATGCATGAAGCCCTGGGTTCGATTCCTTAGTACCATATAAACAGAAAAAGCTGGAAGTGGTGCTCTTGCTAAAGTGATAGAGTGTTAGCCATGAGCAAAAGAAGCTCAGGGACAGTGCCCAGGGCCTGAGTTCAAGCCCCAGGACTGGGAAAACAATCCAATAGCTGTAGCTCAAGTGGTAGAGCACTAGCTTTGAGCTGAAGAGCTGAAGGACAGTGCTCAGGCCCAGAGCTCAAGCCCCACGACTGACAAAAAAAACATAGTATTTGGAAGTGGCACTGTGGCTCAAGTGGTATAGCACTTGCCTTGAGCTGAAAAGCACAGGGACAGTGCCCAAGCCCAGAGTTCAAGCCCCATGACCATCCAAGAAAACAAACAAACAAACAAAAAAATAAACTTTGCTACCTGTTATACCAGAGAGTAAGTTTTCCCAGAAGACCATATGAACATGGATGATAGTGAACCAGTCAGCCAATAAGTATGATCCTCTGGTGAAATGAGATTTGGGGGAAGATGAATTGGCATTTGGGCAGGAGTAGGGAGAAGGGCCCTCTGCCTCTTACCTTCCTGGCTCTCTCAAACTCTTTCCAGTACTCCCATCATGCCCCATAGGGCCATAGTCCCATTGAAACTCATTAGCCTGAATGAAATACTTCCGAACTTTGCCTGTGAGGTGGCCCACAGGAGGGGCTGTGGAGCAAGATGTGACTTTGTAGAGTGCCTGCATACCACCTGGAAGAAAAACATCATGGCTGGTCCCACTCTACCAGAATTCCTACATAGAGGATTCAGCATACTCCTTCTCCTAGTATTCTCTCCTCACATCCTCCACTACTCTCTTTACCCTGTCCCAAATAGACCACTTCCTCTCACTGCTTAAGTGTGTGACTGGGAGAAAGCAAGCAGTTAAGAATTCAGTACCTCCTCAGTCTTGCCTCCACAAAAGGCTCACATTGTAACAATCTCAGAGACCTATGTCAGGAACTTGAATTCAAACTTGACCATGACCACTATCTGTAAGTCCTCAGGCATGGCAATTCCTCGATCTGAGCTTTCTTCCTTGGGAAATGCACATCATGGGGCTAATGGGAACATTGATTTTAAAAGAGGAGAAATATTTATAAACTGAGAAGTTCCTAAAACGAGTAATCTGCCACATGTGGAGATGATACTCCAAGCTTTGACTGAGGGAAACAAACATGTCATCAAATGTGGAATGCCATAATATTAATAGGTAGGTGGTACTGTCTATATTTCCTTAGGAACTTATGCAGGTCTTTCAGCTGTATTATTTCACTTGACTCTCACAATACCTGAAGGAGAATAAAAATTCTGTTACAAGTCTATGGCATGAAGGATGAGGAGAACAGAGGTGTCAAGTCCTATGTCAAGTGCTCTACATTTTATCTCAATCCATCTTTCCCAAAATCCTGTGAAATACACTTTTCACATCCCCTATTGAAGATGAATAAAATGAGAAATCAAAATTATGTAGTGACTTGTTCAAGATTGTAGTTAGTTATTGGTACTGTTGACAATTAAGTTCTCATCTTTTAAGTACAAACCTTGAGAGGTTTTCTAACCACTATCTTGGTCATATCACACTTTCAGTCTCTAAGATTTAAATTCCCCACAAGTCTCTGAAACCTCATTACAGTTTATGAGATAGGTATCCTCAAGACTTACCAAAGGCATGTAAGCAAGAAGAAGAAAAATGATTTGAATGTAGGGTTGCCTAGTTCCAATACTGATGTTTGTTCCACTAACTGTAGTATATCTACTCTCTTACCCAGACATATTTGGGACCAAGTACAAACCTCAGCTGATAAAGTACATTTAACTGACCTCTATTGACTCAAACCTACTACCCCAAGATTCATTATCCAATCAAACTCCTTAGCTGCTCACATATTCACTTTCACATAATATTAATCCAATACCCTAATTCACCATATATCAAATAATTCTAGAAAGTAAGAGCTGAGGAGTTTAGAGATCCATTTTATAGAGATGACAAATGAGCCAGAGAAATGGAGAGAGACTTGTCTAGAGTCATATATAATAAGTCTATCTTATTCATGGATTTACTACATGTGCTTCTGACCAACCACAGTTAAAATGTTTTTTTTTTTAATTTTTTTAAATGCCTACCATGCATTACACAATTCAATTGATTTGGAAAAATCTCAGTTCTTATTGTCAGTTGTGTTTAAATCCTGGTGGGATGTGCTGAGTGTTTCCCTCTCCTTATTTAATTCTGTGAAAAATCTGTTTCCCAAAGAGCAAATGGTGCCTTAACAGCAAAGCAAAACTTACAATGATCCTCACAAGCCAAAATGGATGCATAGTGTAATTAATTTAAGTAATGAAAACTGCAGATTTGTTATAAAGTGGCATGTCTTTAGCAGAAGTCAGGTAGCATTATGGGAAAAAATATTACTAAACCTTATGCATTATGAACATCCATGGATTTTTCTCAATGGCATTCTCCCTGGAGTCATCAACATATGGGTACCAAGGGTATACTGTAGTGTGTTGATCACAGGTGAGACTACATGTCAGACCTAACCACTTATCTACTACTCTACCATTGCCTCACATGTTTTTCCTCCCCTTGGATGTTCCTCAATGTTCTAAAAACTATCAATACACTATAAGCCATCACTCTAACCACTGTTCCTCTGGGGGGAAACCCTTCTGCACTATAAAAAACAAAAACAAAAACAAAAAACAATGCAATATAAAGCCATCATTCTAACCATTCTCGCTCTGTGGGGGAAAAAAAAAAAAAACTTCTGCACTATATAAAAAAGGCAATGCACAATAAGCCATTACTCTCACCATTCTCCCTCTGGGAGAAAAAAATGCAACTTCTGCCCCTACTGCTTTTGGATCTCAACCACAGTGTCATTACTTAGCTACATTAATCCATGTTTACTTAAATCCACTCTCCTTAAATTTCTCCTTCACTATTTAATCTACTCTCCTTAAATTTCTCCTTCACTTTCTGTTTATCAGACCTCCAGGTCTCAATTTACTAGAATTTTCAGAGTAGAAAAAGTAATTTAAATGTCTAGTTGTCCATTCCTAGCCAATCTTGTATGCAAGAGGGGGAAACTAAATCCAGAAAAATGTGTCCAACATAAGCCAGAAAGTTAGTGGCAGTGCCAAGAAGTACCCTGACTTAAGTCTAGTGTTTCACTATACCCAGAACCTGACCTGGAAGATATTCTTTTTGTTCCAAGCCAGAAGCCCAGCATCCTATTGACCTTACTGACTCCACTTACACTCTAAAGATCATAAATATTAGATCTTACTTTGAAAGTGACTGTTCACTTGACAACTAATTAGCCAAGTGCCAGGCTCCTGGGGCACCATCTCAGCTGTCACAAAGGTGGCGGGAAAGATGTGGGCCACATCTGTGCGGTGACCACGAGTAGTCAGCATCTGTCCATGGAAAAAAGCTGTGTGGACATCCACTTCATTGCCCATTCCAAACAAGTGCCAGGCTACATGCTTCTGTGAACACATACTCAGCTCTGGTAAGTTCCCAAAGACAAAGCCATTGATTGCTGCAAAAGAAACCCAAAGAAAATAAAGTATTAGAAAATGGCACAGCCAGGCACCAGTGGCTCACACCTGTAATCCTAGCTACTCAGGAGGCTGAGATTTGAGGATCGCAGTTCAAAGCCAGCCCGAGCAGGAAAGTCTATGAAACTCTTATCTCCAATAAACCACCAAAAAACCAGAAGTGGTGCTGTAGCTCAAGTGGTAGAGCACTAGCTTTGAGCTGAAGAGCTGAGGGACAGTGCTCAGGCCCAGAGTTCAAGCCCCACAACCAACAAAAAGAAGAAGAAGAAGAAGAAAGAAAATGGCACATAGAAATGGGAGAAGTCAGGCACTGGTGGCTCACACCTATAATCCTAGCTACTTAGGATGCTGAGATCTGAGGACTTTGGTTTGAAGTCACGTGGAAAAAGTCCATGAGCATCAAAAAGTCATATGTGGAGCTGTGGCTCAAGTGGTAAAATGCTAGCCTTAAGCAAAAAAATTCAAGTGCAGCACCCAGACCCTGAATTACCCTGAATTCAAGCCTATAACCAGCAAAAAAAGAGAAAAACCTTACCATATATCAAAAAAGATAATATTTAAATGAGCTTAAACAGCATGCTGTGCTAACTATATACATTACCTCATTTTTTTGTGATGGTACTGTGGCTTGAACTCATAATGTCTTGTGCTCACCTGGCTTTTCTGACTCAAGGATGGTGCTCTACAACTTGAGCCACATCTCCACTTTCAGCATTTTTGCTGATTAATTGGGAATGAGAATCTCAGGGAATTTTCTGTTCAGGATGGCTTTGAACTATGATCCTCAGATCTCATCCCCCTGAGGAGCTATGATTTCAGGGATGACTCTCTAGGAGCTGACTAGACATTCTCTCATTTAAGTTTACAAATAGCTTTGGGAAATAGGCAAATACCATTGGTCTTATTTTTTTTAATGAGAAAAGTTAGGGTCAGAAAGGTGAAATTAGTTCATTCTGAAGACCACAGAGTTATTATGTGGTAAAGTCAATGTTGAAAACCAGAAATCATAGAAACTCACTGGGGAATGGGGTTATTTTGCAGACTCATCTTTCCTATCTGGCTGGTTTCCTTCAGAAGTTTCCACAGGACAAATGTCACACTAGTTGACTAATCACCTCAGCTATCATAATCAATTGTTATAAAACCTAAGAGAAATTTGAGCTGTATAAACCATATTTTATGTCTTCCCTCTGAGTTTTCAGTAATCCTTGGGGCTGTCTGACTTTGAGCCTACTCCTGTTGGCAAAGGTAAGCAAATTACTTCCTTTATTAATAAAAACAAAATCAACTTATTTCTATTTCAAAAAAAAACCAGTTCTCTGCTCATGCCTTGGGGCTTCTGTGCCTTTACTTTGTTTTTAATTTATTTAATATAGACATAAACCAAATGTACTATAGGAAGCCTGTAAGCAGGATAACTTGAAAGCATCCATTTCTTTCCAGAGTTAGATAATTCAGTCTGCATCATTTTTAAAGCAAAAGCAAGGGTTAAAATTTTAGCTGTACCATTTACTGATCCATAATCTTGAAAATCTGTGTCCTCACAAAATAAAACAGAAATGTCACTGAGTTTGGATCCTTATACATATCAAAAGGACCAGTTATGTGAAAACACCCACCCAATACTGGGTCTAGGGGAAACTCTCGACCAAGGTCCACAGTCAGAATGTGATTACTTTCTCCTAGCTCACCATGCATTCTGTTGCTTTCCTGAAAGGCTTCATCTTCTTTGTCCACTGAGGCAGGATCTTTGCAGTAAGTAACTATATTCTCATCAAGATGCCAGCTAAGGTTCTCATCTACCACACTGAAGAGCAGAAAGAAATTATGGTCCACATCTTGTCGCCGAGGAGGAAAGTTTCCATTCAAGGTTCCTAGGGCACACATGAAAGGTACCCTTAATAAATTATGAACATATATAAAAACATACATAGGATCACATGAATATATAACACAAACATATTAGCTAAAGTATAGTATACTTGGAGTGAGGAAGATTCCAATGGTACAACTCCTTTGAACAACTAGCTTATAGTTTATCAAAATATGCACCAACCATGGGTTGGAAAGCTGAGAGTGTGAGAGGGGCAGATGAATAGAGGTAGAAAGAGTTGGATAACAGTCGTAGTATTCAATGCATTCAACATACCTATGTGAAAATAGAACCAGCTAACTCAAGAGGATGAGTGGGGTTGGTAGAGATGGGAGAAAATGATGAAAGGGGCAAAATTGATCAGGATGTACTGTATTTATAAACTTATATTAAACTGAAACCTCTGTGGGAAACTATTTAACAATAAAAAAGAAAAGAATGGTACCCTTGGGAATGTCCTTTCTTTAGCAATATAAGCTCCAAGGGGCCACCTAACAATGAATAGAAAGAAAGGAGAGGGAGCTTTAAAAATCTGTCAGCAACAGAAAAGCAGATGGGGCTCCTTATACTACTTCTTAACTTTCTAGATGAAACAATACATTTGAACCCATGACTTAAAGGTGGGAACATATAAGACCTAGAGTATTTCCTTCCCACTGTCCTTGCCTGCCTTCAACCTAGTACTTGAACCTAGCCACATACCTGCAACACTGTGATCTTCAGGCATGACTAATTAATGACTCCTTGAGTATATCTCATCCCAAGTTCAGTTTTCAATCCTCTGCTAAACTTGGTGGCCGGACTCTCAATCCATACCTAAATCCATACCATATGCCTCACTTCAAAGTGATTTGCCATCCAGCATAACAATGTTGGTTATTTTTTGTTTTGGTTTTTGTTTTAGGTGCAAGTCATTAGGCTTGAACTGGGCACTGTCCCTGAGCTTTTTTGCTCAACGTTAGTACTCTATCCTTTGAACCACAGCTCCACTTCCACTTTTGGGAGTAGTTAATTGCAGATTAGAGTCTCACTGACTTTTCTTCTGCCCAGGCTGGCTTTGATGTGTAGTCCTCAGATCTCAACACCCTGAGTGGCTAAGACTACAGATGTGCACCACAAGCACTTAGGTGCATGACAAAATTTAAGTCTCAAAAGTAAAATAAGAAGTAAGAAAATAGGAGCTGTCAACATCCCTAGCCATAAAAGAAATGCAAATCAAAACAACATTGAGATACCACCTCAGTCCAGTTAGAATGGCAAAAATCAAGAGCTCTAACAACAACAGATTCTGGAGGGGATGTGGACAGAAGGGAACCTTACTTCATTGTTGGTGGGAATGTAAACTTGTCCAACCACTTTGGAAAGCAGTATGGAGGTTCCTCAAAAGACTTCACATAGAACTCCCCTATGACCCAGCAATCCCACTTTTGGGCATTTACCCAAATGTTTACAAACAAGACCACACTAAAGCTACCAGCACAACTATGTTTATTGCAGCATTATTTACCATAGCTAAGATATGGAACCAACCCAGATGCCCCTCAGTAGATGAATGGATCAAGAAAATGTGGTATATATACACAATGGAATTCTATGCCTCCATCAGAAAGAATGACATTGCCCCATTTGTTAGGAAATGGAAAAACTTGGAAAAAATTATATTAAGTGAAGTAAGCCAGGCCCAAAGAAACATAGGCCCCATGGTTTCCCTTATTTGCAACATCTAGTATATGTATGAGTCAAGCAGAAAAGGTCAGATAATGTGATGTTAGGAAAATGAACCCTTAGATATGTATTTTAATGTTTTTTTCTTTCATGCATGTGTTTCTAACGCATTTATAAGATTATTTCTTTGTTGCTTTGTATGTCTCTCCCCCACAGTATAACCCCTGCTTTCACTATATTTGATTTCAGTATAATTTGTGGAGGAGATGGGGAAAAACAAGTCGTTTAAGGATACAGGTGGACCTGTTGCAACAATGAGAAGTACGAGTTGTCATGTGGAAAACGAGCTTTATAACATCGGGGGGGGGGGGGGGCAGGCTGGGAAGGGATGTGAAGGGTAAACAAAGGAGGAGGCTGCAATGCTTGGTAAGAAATGTACGCATTATCCTGCCCATGTAATTGTAACCCCTCTGTACAGTATGTTCACAAATAAAATTAAATTAAATTAAAAGAAAAAAGAAAATAGGACTTGTGCCTCAAGTGGTAGAGTACCAACCTTGAGCAGAAAAGCTAAGGGATTGCATTCAGGCCCTGAGAAACACAGTCACAGACAAAGAAAACAGAAAAATATTTTGTATGGTTTTTCATTTTGTTTTATGCTTAAATAAGAAAAGGTAATGAAATAAGAAAAAAAAATAGTATAGCCAGGTACCAGTGGCTCACGCCTGTAATCCTAGCTACTCAGGAGGCTGAGATCTGAGGCCGAGGTCATGGTTCAAAGTCAGCCCCGGCAAGAAAGTCTGTGAGACTCTCTATCTCCAATTAACCACCAGAAAACCAGAAGTGGCAGTGTGGTTCAAGTGGTAGAGTGCTAACCTTGAGCTGCAGAGCTGAGGAACAGTACTCAGGCCCAGAGTTCAAGCCCCACACAGGGAGTTTGACAGGGTTTTCCTTGCTAACAAACAAGGGTACTGAATTAACAGTCCTCCAGCTGTTGCCCAATATGAAAGTAGTTTAACTATATGACTCCTTCCCCCAGATAACCCAAACTACATAGCATAGCTCATTCTTGGAAACTGTACCTCTTTTACAGGTGATGAGGGGTCCAATGAGACCAGTGGCAATGTCTCGTGGAGCATCTACATGAGAATGGTAGATCCAGGTGAGGCACGCTGGGTCAGCACTAGTAGGTGCGTGGCCTTCTGGAACAGTCCAATTATAGATATGGATGCCTCCCGGGGGAACAGAATCATCAGCTTTCAAGTGTCCAGAAGAGCCATCTGGATATAGGGATCCTAAAAATGAAATCACATGTTCCTAATACTCAGATGAGAAGAAGCATGGCAGATAAGAAGTCCAAAGAGGGCAAACATATAGGATACTTGAGTCCACTCTTGAGGAACATAGGATTCTAAGGTTCACAATAGTGTTCTCATCCCAGACTTCACATCACTAATGGGTGGAGAGCAAAGAGCTGGTGGATCACACTTTTAATCCTGGCTATTCAGAAGGCTGAGGTTTTCCATTTGAAGCTGTTAGGTCTGCCCAGGAGAAATGCTCACTTCCCTTGGTTCCCTGGAAGTCCCCGCCCAGCACCTCTTGGTGCTGGGGGAAGTGCAAGGTTCCCAAGATATGAGGTCATTTCTTCATCCTCTGAGGTCACTTCCATATGTGCCCTCCCCTACACAATCTCTCTCCTCTCTACATAAGCTCTCTCGCTCCACACGCCTCCATCTTGTGCACATAGCAGTTTTTCTCTCTCTCTGTCTCTCTCTGTGTCTCTGTCTCTCCTCTCCCTCGTCTCTCTCTCTCCTCTCTCCCTTTCCTCCCCTCTTTCTCTCTCCCCTCTCTCCCATTTGGGTTTCCAGGATCTGAGGTCAGAGGTTACCTCTATATGTGCCCTCCCCTATACAATCTCTCTCCTCCCTACATAAACTCTCTTGCTCCACACGCCTCCATCTTGTGCATGTGGCACTTTGATCTCTCTCTCTCCCTCCCACTCTCTTCTCCCCTCTCTCCACTTTCCCCTCTCCTCCCTTTCTCCCTCTCTCTCCCCTATCTTCCTTCTCCACTCTCTGCCCTGTCCCCTTTCTGTCCCTAATAGCTCTCCTTGCTCTATCTTCCCCCCTTTCTCCCCCGATCTCCCTCTCCCCTCTCCCTCTGGTCTCTCTCTCTCCCCTGTCTCTTGCCTTCTCTCTCCTCTCCTCTTCTCCTCTTCCCCTCTCTCTAATCCCTCTGTCTCCCTCTGCTCTCTATCTCCCCTTTTCATCTCTCCTCTCTTTCTCTTTCTTTTCCCTTGAACCCCATGGGAATTTCCTTTTGGCAACCCTTACAGAAGCCAGCCAGGGTAGGAAAGTCCAAGACTCTTATTTTCAGTTAACCACCACAAATCCAGAAATAGAGCTGTGGTACAAGTTATAGAGCTCTAGCCTTGAGGACAAACACTCAGGGACAGCAACCAAGCCCCAGGACCAGCACACATACACACACACACACAAAAAAAAAAAACCACAAAAAAAGCAATGAACAGAGAGGTGTAAGCCAACTGGCTAAGCGAAAGGTTACTTGGACTAAGCTTGCAGTGCTCTAGTACAAACTTGGTGCCCTGGAAGCAAAGGGAAAGACAGCATTCCCTCCCTTTGAATCAGGAGGAGAGGTACGCATTTGTAATCCTAGCACTGGGAAAGCAGAAGAAAGAGGATCTATAATTTAGTGTGTGAAACTATAAGGTGAGTTCTAGGCCATTCTGCAGAATGATACTATGTTTAAAAAAAAACTGCCTTCTTCAAGTACCTGCTATAGAAAAAATATTCATAGAATTCTAGTCTAAAGGTAACTTAAAAATCACATTAAAGAGAAAATGGAGACATAACTAGCCCCAGGTCATGTGAAGTTCATGGCCAAACTAGGTCTTCTTTCTTTGTCCCTTATCTATTACCTTTAACTCTTTTTTTTTTTTTTTAGTGTTGGTCCTGGGATTTGAACTCTGGGCTTGGAGCTGTCTCTGCACTTTGCTTAAGGCTAGTGTTGTGCCACTTAAGCCAGAGCTCCACTTCCGGGTTTTTTTGAGTAGTTAATTGGAGATAATAGTCCTTGGACTTTCCTGTCTGGGCTGGCTTCAAAGTGATCCTCAGATTCCAGTGTCCTGAGGTAGCCAGGATCACTGATATGGGCCTCCTGCACCTGACTTAACACACCATTTTTGTGCATAAATTCAAATTTTCTCTAGAAACTATGTTTTGCTTGCTGTTTTGAGACCAGGCCTTCTTATCTGAGTCTGGCTGATCCTTCTGCCTGAAAAGTGCTGGGATTTCATTATAGGTGTGTATAACTACATCAAACCACTAGTTTGAGATACATGATGCATTATTAATGAGCATATTCACCTGGTTATGTCATATAACACCAGAACTTGTTCTTCTTATCTGATTTTGCCAATGTTGCAGTTGAGTAATCTTTCTCATGAAATCAGCATGTTATAGATTCTGCACCAGTGAAATCATATGATGTTTATCTTTCTGTGTCTGACTTATTTAAAATACCACAACATCCCCTGGTTAATCTATGTTGTGTGTCTGTGCTGTTCTTGGGAAAAGGCCTGGGAACCATCCCACAGCTTTTCAGATCAAAGCTATAACTCTACTACTTGAGGCCACTAATTGCCAAGTGGAGCTATAGCTCCACTTCTGGTTTTTGGTAATTAATTATAGGTAAGATTCTCACACTTTCCTGCCTAGTCTGGTTTGGAACAGCAAATCTCAGATCTCAGCCTCCTGAGTACCTAGGATTACATGAGCCACTGGCTTGAACTCAGGGCCTAGGCACTGTCCCTGAGCCTTTTTGTACTCAAGGCCAGTGCTCTACCACAGAGCCACTTCCAGCCTTTTCTGGGTAGTTTATTGGAGATTAAGAGTCTCACAGACTTTCCAACCCTGGCTGGCTTTGAACTGTGATCCTCAGAACTCAGCCACCTGAGTAGCTAGGATTACAGGCACTGTAGTGTAGCTGGCATCTAGCTGTAATTTTATTCCTTTTAACAATGAATAGAGTCAGAGGAAGCTCATGCCCGTAATCTTACCTACTCAGGAGACTGATCTAAAGATTGAAATTAACTACCAAAAGCCAGAAGTGAACCTGTGGCTCAACTGGTAGAGCAACAGTCTTGAGCATAAAAAACTAAGGGTTAGGGCCCAGCCCCTGAGCTTAAACCCCAGCACTGGAATAAAAATAGAGGGTATATAGCATTCCATTGTGTATGTACACCACATTTTTTCAATCATGGAGATGGACCCCAAAGCCTTATATGTGCTACACAAGCACTCTATACCCACATCCCCAGGCCTATAACAATTTTCTTTGCCTACTTGTGTACAGATGAACCTTTAGGAGAATATAATACTCTGAATATTGTGACTAGTATTGCAGACATCCTGGTGTCACTTCAACATGCTAATTTCATTTCCTTTAGGCAAATATGTAACATTGGGAACAGTTCTATTTCCAGTTTATTGAGGAACTTTCATACAATTATGTAATGACTATATTACTTTGCACTTCCAACAACTGTGTATAAAAATTTCCTTTTCTCTGCTTCCTCATCATTAGCTAGGATTCTCTGACTACCTTCTTCAGTTTCATCACTTACTATTTTAAGTATTACAGGCCAAGGGACCTGAAATAAAGGGAGTCCAGAAAAGTAAACTAAATGCTTTCTTTTTCTGTGTATGTGTGCTAGTACTAACGGCTTAGACTCAATGCCTGCGCACTGTCCCTGAGCTTTTTTGCTCAAGGCTAGCAGCCCTAACTACCAGTTAAGCCACAGCTCCACTATTGGCTTTTTGCTCATTAATTGGAGATAAAAGTCTCACAGAATTTCCTGCCAGCTGGATTCCAACCTCAATCCTCAGATTTCAGCCTCCCGAGTAGCTTAGGTTATAGGTATGAGCCACCAATGTCTGGCATAATGCCCCTTAAGAAAAACAAAATGTTGTGATGTGTGTGTGTGTGTGTGTGTGTGTGTGTGTGTGTGTGTGTGTGTGTGTGTGTGTGAGACTTGATCCCGGAGCCTGTGCTCTGTCCCTGAGCTACTTTGCTCAAGGCCAGTGCTTTACCATGTGAACCACAATTCCACTTCCAGCTTGTTTAGATGGTAAGTATCTCAGGGACTTTCCTGCCCAGGGCTGGCTTCAAACTATGATCCTCATTTTTCAGCCTTCAGAATAGCTAGGGTTACAGGCATGGAATTTTTTGTAAGATTTTTTGTGGCATAATACCACCTTACATTCATAACACACTTTCCTTTTCAAAGCATATTCAAATATTCAATGGAAATGTCAAATAGTTCCTTGTGGTACAAAGTGAATTGTATCTTCACATTCCTGATAAAGATCAGTGACTTGCCCCAGTCATATAGTATATGAAAAACAGAACTGATACCAGAACTCGGTTGTGCTTACTCTGACTAAAGTCTTCACTAACTCAAGGAAAATATATTTTTAAAAAGCTGTTCTTGCTGGGCACTGGTGGCTCACACCTGTGATTCTAAATACTGAGGATGCTTAGATCTGAGGAATGCAGTGGAAAACCAGCTACGGCAGAAAAAAATCTCTGAGACTCATCCTCAACCAGTTAAAAGCCGGAAGTAAAGGCATGGTCTAACTGACAGACCATTAGCCTCAAACAAAGACACTAAGGAAAAACACTTTGAAGGCTTTGAGTTCAAGTCCTAGTACTGGCACAATAAATACATAAATAAATCCTTTTCTTGGTTAGGCCTAGTGGTGTACACCTGTAATCCCAGCACTGAGGAGTCTAAGGCAGTAGGATTATGAATCTGAGGCCAGCCTGGGATACATAGAAAGACCCTGACCTGTAAAAACTGTTATTCTTTCTTCCAGTTCTTCTTTCTCAGGCAGGAGTAAAGGAAAAGTGATATTAGAAAAAAAAATGTGTTAGTAAAAGAGAAAAAAGAATAGGGTCTTTTACCTTCTGAGTCCTTCTCATAGAAAACACCATGAGGATGAATGGTATAGGGACGAGTGGCAAAATTTTTCAGATGAACGAGAATGACATCTCCCACCTCAGCCTGTAACACAGGCCCCAGGAAGCCCAACCAGGCAGGCTGGGCCACTTCTTCAGTATATGTGTTGTCTCTGTATTCCTTATAGATGGTCTTCTTATAGTTGCTTCCTATCCGGTTCTTGTCAGACTTTAGAAAGCTAGAAGCCACTCTGGGGCAAAATAAAAAAAAGAATTCCAATTTTTCTACTATTTTCAAACTACAAAAAGTCTCTTTTCCAGAGGAGGTTGACAAAAATGTGCCCTCATGGTTCAGGACAAAACATCATGGTTTAGGAAATGACAATATGCTCATGAAAACACAAAAGCTTTAGGTTTTATGGTTTGACAATGGGGAGCCAGGTGGCTCAGGCCTATAATCCTAGCAACTAAGGAGGGTGAGATCTGAGGACTAAGGATTAAAGTAAACCTGGGCAAGAAAATCCATGACAGTCTTACCACCAATTATGATAGTCTTGAGCAAAATTCCAAGCATGAGCACAGGGCCCTGAGTTCAAGTCTGTACTGACACAAAAGGGAGTAGGAGATAGTACATTAAAACAAATAAAATTTTATATATTGAGCATGTTGAATCTCCATAAAGCCAGCTTCAAATGCTTCAATCCAATATATAGTAAGGGGGAAAAGGAAACTGAGTACTGACTCTTTTATTTGTTGTGGCTTTGGCATCATACTGCTGTAATACCAACTATAGGTAGTGGTTATAACCACAGCATCTGGAGCCAGGCCACCAAGAATTAAATGTCAACTCTGCCACTTCCAAATGTGTGGGATGTAGAGCAAGCTACATTACTTCTCTGCACATTCTCCCCATCTGGAAAATGAACATAATAACTCGGACAGTTGTTACTGGTGACTAAAAGAATTGCAATGTAGGGCAGGCTGGAGGTAGAGCCCAGGGACAGACTGCATGCTAAGAATGGAAGAGGCCCTAGGCTTGATTCTCAGAATCACAAGAAACAAAAATGGAATATTTAAATACATAAAGAACTTAAGATAATTTTATCAGTAAATGCTGATTTATTTCAAAGAATTAAGAACAGGAGATAATTAAAATATTCTTTCAAAGTTAATTTTAATATAAGGACTCTGATTCAAACAACATGGATAGTTTCTGTCAATAACAAAATAGCGCTTGGGCTAGACACAGAGCTAAATGGTAGTGTGTTCGCTTAGCATGTATGAGGCCTTGGTTTGATCCTCAGCACTCTAAGGTGGGAGGAGGGGAAAAAAGAGATGTTATTCTTACTATAATTATTCCTAGAGATGTTACAACCAACTGTGGAAAACTCTGAGGCTTTGGAGAGATAAACTGAGTCATTATCACAAAGATTTTTCTTTTCATGCGTGCTTGTACTAAGGCTTGAAGTCAAGCATGGGTTCTGTCTCTTAGCTTTTTTGCTCAAGACTAATGTTCTACCACTTGAGCCACAGCGCCACTTGTATGTTTCTGGTGCTTAATTGGGGATAAGAGTCTCAGGGACTTTCCTGCCTGGGCTGGCTTCAAGCTACAATCCTCAAATCTCAGCCTCCTGAATAACTAGGATTACAGGTGTGAGCTACTGGCATGTGGCACAAAAGATTCTTTTAATGCATTTATTTAATTCATTCATTTATTCCACAGGAATTTATGGAGTACCAAGTTTTAAAAATCAAGTAAGGTGAATACTGTGAGCAGCACAGTGGTGATAATAGTACAAGCTTTGCATTCATATTACCCAGGTTCAAATCCTAGCTCTTGCATATACAAGCTATGGGGACTTGGATAAGTCACTTGATCTCCAGGAGTCTCAGTTTTTCTCATCTGGAACATGGAATAGCTGTAAATATCAATGGTAGAGCACATGCTTGATCTATGCAAGGCCTGTGGTTTGATCCTCAACTCTAAAAATTTGAAAATGAGGATATTCATGTTCACTTCCTAGATATTTTATAGGAATAAAGTGAGACAAAGTTTGTAATTTCTATGGTACTTACCACATAGTATTACTAAATGATAGCCATTACTGTCATTACTTACTTCTATGACTCAGTTTACCTGTTCAACTTTTCAAATATCTAAAATCAAGGTAGTTCTATCAGACAATGCATGCGTAGTTCCACTACACACATCTTTTAAACACTATCCACACATCATGGTTTTTATAAGCTAAACAATTGCTATTTAATCAACATTGTATATACCATCCTGGAATCAAGAAAATATGGAATTGTCTTTAAGACACTTTAAAAGCACTACAGTACTTCAGTGTGGACAGATACCCTATGTGATGTTAGCTTCTAAGTCAAGCAGCCATCTTCCTAGGAAACCTGCTGATTTATGAAAGAAGAGAAATCTGGGACAGAAATTGGGAGCTGGCTGTAACCACACTCTGGGAAAGAATCATCAAAAAGCTACTGCTATCCAGGTGCTGGTGACTTGTGCTTATAATATTAGCTACTCAGGAAGCCAAAATCTGAGGGTTGTAGTACCATGAGACTCTTTTATTCCAATTAACCACCAAAAAGCCAGAAGTAGAGCTGTGGATCAAGTGGTAAAGTGCCAGATTTTGGCAAAAAAAGGCCAAACATTAAGAAAAGAAACTCTGAGTTCAAGGCCATATAGTAGCATACAAAAAAAAGAGAAGAGGCTACTGCCTAACTTTAAGAGTACCCTTATCCAACTTCAGCTCTAATACCAAATGAGATTAAACCTACGTGTCACTTTCCAGAGGCTGGTTTGTGATGACATTCCTTCCCTTGGGAGCATAGTTCCAGTACACATCCCGGATGCCCAGGTAGTAGACTCGAGTTGCCCCATCAGTCAGTAGCGGCCATAAGGACTGCATAAACAGCAGTGCCCAGAGGAAGTGGACTGGCTCCATGACCCACATAACACTGAGAAATAGGCAAACGGAATCTGCTGGAATGAGAAAAAGAGAACAAAGGGACGTTACTTGCATCTGGAATACTGCAGAGGCCAAAGCCAGATGTAGTGGCTGAAAAAGCAAAACCCAATCAGCACATTCTTTTTCTCCACCTACCAGATTTCTTTTGGTTCAGCAAGTGTTTAATGATCTCCACCCACAGGACTTTGGAAGGCAAAGTTAAATTACCTGTACTGATAATTAGTGATCACTTCCTTCAGAAGAGAAATTTGAATCCTGTTCCTTCAGCTGTATAGGAGAAAGAATGCAGTCTGGGCTAAGAATCAGGAAACAGGTAGCAGAAGGCTGATTATGTCACACTGACTCACTTGGTGCCTAAAGCAACTCACTTTTCTTGCTCGTTTTCCTGTAGGCAAAGAAGGAGACTCAGTGCTGCCACCTCCCATCACCTAAAAACTGGTTTAGAAAGAAATGATAATTCATCAAAAGACATTTACTGGGATATACATACACTCAAAATGGAGTCACCCAAAATGTCCATGGATACTCAAATGGATGAGTAAATTAAATTTTCCTCATATAGCGAAATTCTACACAACAATGATAAAGAACAATCTATGGCTATGCACAACAGTATGGATAGGCCTCACAAATGTGAGGCTACAGATGAAAACCAACTATGAATGTATGCATATTGTTTAATTTAATTTATGTGAAGTAAAACATCAGAGAAAAATAATCCTACTATTAGAAGTTAGAACAGAGCCTAGCACAAGTGGCTCACATCTGCTATCCTAGCTACTCAGAAAGCTGAGCTCTGAGCATGGCAGTTAGAAGCCAGCCTGGGCAGAAAGTCTTTGAGACTTTTATCTCCAATTAACCAGCAAAAAGCTTGAAGTGGAGGTATAGTTCAAGTGGTAGAACACCAGCTTTGGGCATAAAAGCTAAGGGACAGTGTCCGAATATTGAGTTCAAGCCTCAGTAGCAGCATACACACAAAACAAGAAGGAGTGACATGGGTGGGAAGGCAGCTCATGAATAAGGGCCCCTCAATTGAGTTAGGACCACATTGATCCTGGTGGTATAGATCAATGACTAAGAAGGGAAGACAGACTGTTCTTTCTTGATCTACATGCTAGATACATGGGTGTGGTCAGTTTCTGAAAATACACTGCACTGTATTACTTAGGATTTATGTACTTTTTACATGCATGTTATATTTCAAAAAGCTAACAATAAAACAATGAGTTTGTGAGGAAAGTATTTTGAACTTTTCAGAAGAAATGCTCTAAAATGGTCCTCAAGGCTATGTACAAACCCATTTCACAGGTCTAACTCTAAATTATCATCAGACCCAAACTTGTAACTTCTCATTTCAGAATAATAATCAGGAAATTAGGCTTCCTGGGACTGGCATGAGGCACTCTGCTGTAACCATACACAGTAAGATCAGAAACACAAACATTACATAAACACAAATACACACATTTGCATACATTGGCACACACGTTCTTACAGGCATGGATACCAACATTTGCATTCATACAACCACTGCCTCTCAGAGCCTTAATGGCCTTCATAATAATAATAAATCAGCACTTATTGTGCATCCAAGGAGTGCACTGTTCTAAGTGTCTTGCACAGATTAAATCATTTAATCCTCAGAATCAGTCTAGGAAGTAGACACCATTATTATCCCCATATTACAGTGCTGAAATTGCAAAACAGGTGTGTAAATTAATTTGCCCAAGGCCACCTAGTTAACAATCAGTAGAACTGCGATTTGATCCCAGGAAATGTGACTCTGGCACCTATGATTTTTATCACTGTTATATCTACCTTCCCCCAAACATACTTACACACTTATGTGGATGCACATAGAAAATATGCACAGGCCCACAGCTACAGCTATAACTAGGAAAAACCACATGTAATTATACATGATTATGATCACCTTAAAAACTGGCATATTATTGATCAAGGTGCATGGGACTTATAAACTGATTTGGTGAATGGTAATTCATTTGTACAACCACCTAATGATAATAAAAAACATAAGTTAAAAATGAAACCACTGAGGATGGGAATGTGGCTTAGTGGTAAAATGCTTGGATAGCATGCATGAAGCCCTCAGAGCCACATAAACAAAAAAGCTTGAAGTGGCTCTGTGGTTCAAGTAGTAGAGCATTAGCCTTGAGCACAAAGAGGCTCAGGGACAGAGCCCAGGCCCTGAGTTCAAGCCCAAGGACCAGCAAAACAAATGTGAGAGAAAAAAGAAACCAACATGTCCTCAAACATATATAGATAGAGACAACGGGGATGCTGATGACAGCTACTATTCATTGAACACCACACATAAATAATATGTTCAGTGATTTATATAATTTATTTCCTTACATATTCAATTAAAGGGCATGAAATACAGGCTATTGATCAAAATTTTAAATGCAATACTCAGTACTACAGAAAAAAATTAAAGAAATGAATAGATATACCAGGCACCAGTGGCTCACACTTGAAACCACAGCTATTCAGGAGTCTGAGATCTGGAGATTTGAAGCCAGCTCAAGGATAAAAGTTGAAGAGATTCTCTCTCCAAAATAATCAGCAAAAAGTGGGGCTCTATGGAGGCATGTCTCAAGTGGTGCCAAGTGCTGGCTGAGCAACAGCAAAGTCTTGAGTTTAACCCCCAGTATTGGCAAAAGAATAAAAGGATATGCAAACTCACCTATAAGAAAATCCTAGATATTACTGTGAATACAAAAAGACAAAACCTATAGACTTCCTTACAATCACTCAGGCTTCTACCTGCACAACAATCATTCACGTATTTAATCCCAAATCTACATACATACATTCAGACATGCATACATACATACACATATACAAACAAACATACATACATACATATATACATACATACATACACACATACATACACACACACACACACACATTTTGGAGAAAGTCCTGATATTAGGGAGATCTTGATTTTAAAACCTGGCTCTCCCATTGATCACTTGTGTAGCCTTGAGTTTTACTCACACCTCAGAAATTGTTTTGTCATCTGTAAAGTGAGTATGATAATAGCCTTGGAGAAATAAATTTTAAAAAACTGAAATGAAAGTGCACCAATCATATCAGTGTTTGGAATATAGTAGAGTCAACTGATTTCCTTCATCCTCTTTTTTCTCCTGTAAGTTGGTTGGTTCCTTTACTTTTACTATCTCCCATGAAAACCTTTACTTTCTGTACTTCTACTCCAAGGGCTAACTTAAATCCTATCGACTCCAGAAGGCCACCTCTCCAAATCAGACATTGTAGTACTGTTACATTTCTGGGCTGCCTAGTATATTGTCTTTTTGTGTCCATGTGCTGGTCCTGGGCTTGAACTCAGGGCCTGTGCACTATTCCTGAGCTTCTTTTACTCAAGGCTAGCACTTTATCACTTTAGCCACAGTTCCACTTCTGGCTTTTTTGGGTAGTTTATTGTAGATAAGTCTCTTGGACTTTCCTTCCTGGGCTGGCTTAGATCTCAGCCTCCTGAGATGTAGCTAGAATCACAGATTTGGGCCACCAGTATCTGGCTGGTATACTGTCTTTACTTCCCACATTGAAAATGCTTTCAGGGTGGATTTTATGCCATAAAGGTCCAGCCAGGTGTGATTTTTTTTGTTGCTTTGTATGTTCCTCCCCCATGGTATAACCCCTGTTTTCACTGTATTTGATGTCAGTCAAATTTGGGGAGGGGAAGGGAAAAAGCAAAATGTTTAAATAGGAATACAGGTTGACCCATTGTAACAATGAGATGTACAAGACACTATGTTGAAAATGAACTTTACAACTTGGTGGGGGGAGGAGGAGTCAGGAAGGCGGGGAGGGAAAGGATGAGAGGGGAAAAACAAAGGAGGAGGCAACAATGCTGTACTCATTACCTTGCTCACATAACTGTAACCCCTCTGTACAGAATTTTCACAATTAAAAAAACTTATTTTAAAAAAAGGGTCCAGCCAGGGTGGAGAAGGGCCAGAAGGTGGGTCCTAGCAGCAACCGCTAAAGTACTGTAGAAGAGGCATAAGCATGCCTTTCCCCACTAGCTGGTTCTTTTTTTTTTAGTAATTCAAATTTGAATTTTTCTTGAAACAAAGAGAATGCATTCCAAGTATTCAATATACAAAAAATAGTAGTGCATGCAATTTACATTTTTCTCAAAATATGTCAACATCTAAGACCAAATGAAATTCATACCACCAAATAAACCACTAGCTGGTTCTAATTCAAATTCTGCCATTGGTTTGAAGAATGACTTTAGGTGAGTTTCATTACCTTGAAGGGCTTGTATCCACCGTCTAAAGTAATGGAACACATATAGATAGAATATATATTTCTTATCTTTTGGGAGTCATGGAATTTTTATAACCTGACAAAACACATAAATGCATAACTACACAAAGTTCATATATAAAGAACTATGAATGAATCATTCCAGCTGGGTGTGATGGTACTTGCCTATATTCTCAGAACTCAGGAAACTGGCAGAAGGATTGCAAGATCAAGGCTAGCGTAAGCTACACAGCAAGACTCTATCTCAAAAAGTAAACAAAAAAGACTCGTTCCAGCTCTCTCACTATTCCAATACTCACATCCTGTAATAAAACACAGGGCCACTCATATACACCTAACTATAGTTTCATATATGGTATCACAAATATCAATTCCTTGGAACCCTCAACAGGAAGGGAGTATCCTTTGTTTACTGCAAATCTGAATGTAGGTGCACCTCCTCCAAAGGTCCTCAAAGAAGTATCAGCAAGGCAGTTGTGCCTTGATCTGTTTTTTCTAGAGAGAAAACTATCCTCCAATAAGAGCTTTAAAATTCTACTAATAAAGGTAAGCTTGGAAATGTTCTCAGGAGAGACTAGTACAAACCTTTAGCCTACAATGAATGAGCATTAAAACACTGAAGTGGTGACTAATGGTTCAAAGGGCTAACGCTCCAGAAACTGAGCAACAATGTTACCTGGTTTTCACCTAGTAGTTCTCATTTTACAGTGTGTTTTTCATATCTGCCATCTTATTTGATTCTCAAAATCTTGTGAGATAAGCATTGCTTCTGCATTTTGCATCCAGGGCACAGCTTTGGGAATCACACCTACTAAAAGAATCCTGGCTCCCCTATTCCAACTGTATGACCTGGGAAATTGCTTCATTTCTCTATCCATAGTCTTTACCTTTAATATTATTAGCTGCCTCATAGATTTCAAAATGTGGCTTTTATTACTTTATCAATATTGCCAGTCTTGGGGTTTGAACTCAGGGTCTGAGCTTTTTTGCTCAAGGGTAGCATTCTACTACTTGAATCACAGTTCAACTTCCAGCTTTTTGGTGGTTAATTGAAAATAAGAGTATCAGACTTTTTTTCCTGCTGGTTTTGATCCAGGATACTCAGATCTCAGCCTCCTGAATAGCTAGGATTACAGACATGAGTGACTGGTGCTCAGCTTATTATTATTTTAGTATTACCAATTAGGAAATAATTTTATAAATGAAACATGCCACTCTGTTGCTAGTGGCTCATACCTATAAACCTACTCAGGGCTGAGAGTTGAGGATGGAATTTCAAAGCCATACTGGGCAGAAAAATCCAGAGACTCTTCATCTCCACTTAACCAGCAAAAAGCCAGAAGTGGAGATATGGCTCCAGTGGTAGTACATCAGCCATCATCCAGAGAGCACGAGGCCATGAGTTCAAGCCCTAGTACTGGGATACACAAAAAGAAACATACTATGATCATAAAGCTTCCTCCCACCTTCCCTTCCTTCTTTCCATCTTTCCTTATTTGTTTCTATTTTTCTTTTAGTAGGCTATGTATTTGACAACTGTCATGTACTGCATGCTAGAGAAGTGCTCTACCACTGAGCTGTACCTGCATCTCAAGGATTTATCATTGTATGGATAGTCATAACATATATATTCTGAAGTTCCAATACACAGTGACACATTCCAAACCCAGGGGCACTTGTTCATGCATACAAAAGTCTCTCCTTGGAAGTAACATGGCTCAATGTAAGGAAGGAGAACTTGAAGCCAGAAAAATTTAGGTGTAAGCACTGTTTTCCATTGTTTAAATGGTGTAATGTTACGTAGCAACTTGGAATGAGTAGGTGCCTGATAAATACTAGTTTTCATTCCTTCTAATTACCAACTTCCTTTCTTTCTTCCCCCAGCCCCAGGAATAATTTGTCATGGCTATTCATGTTGTTTACTTTGGTTTTATAGAATACTTGAAGAGCAGAATAAAGGAGAACCCATAATCTGTGTTTAAAACCAATTGATTATTTCATTCTTAAGTGGAAAGGATTCATGCACCAGAAAAGCACATCTCTTACTCATTACACTACTTTCAGCAAGTCACCTAACTTCCAGAAGCTAAGTTTTCTCATCTGTTGAATGGTGTTAATTTCTGCCTTGGGTCCTGCGTTAGTTTGCTATGAAGATCAACTGAAATGAAGGATAAGAAATCCTAGTGTAAATTTTCACTTAGGCAAGGAGGTTTGTCTCTGCTGAGCCCACAGAGAAGAACCAGACTGATAAGAGAAAAGAAAAGAGAAGGGAAAAGAAAAAAAAAGAGAAATGAAAGAGCGAACATGAGCAAAAAAGGAGAAAGGTGGCCAAGAAAAGAAGATGAAAAGGAAAATTTTAAAAATGAGAAGGAAGTTTGGGCATTTACCCAAACGATCACAAAGGCCAAACTAAAGCTACCAGTACAACTATGTTTATCGCAGCATTGTTTACCATAGCTAAGATATGGAAGCAACCCAGATGCCTCTCAGTAGATGAATGGATCAAGAAAATGTGATATATAGATATATAATATATATGTATAATAGAATTCTATGCCTCCATCCGAAAGGATGACATTGTCTCATTTGTCAGGAAATGGAAAGACTTGGAAAAAAATATATTAAATGAAGTAAGCCAGGCCCAAAGAAATATAGGTCCCATGGTTTCCCTTATTTGCAATAACTAGTATATGTTTAGGACAAACAGAAAAGGCCAAAAGCTATGTACATATGACTGTATACGATGATGTTAAGCAAAATGAACCCCAAGATAGGGACACAAATATCTTTTTTCTTTCTTGTTATTGTTTTTAACATATTTATACTGTACCATGTGATTTTTTTTGTTGCTTTGTATGTTCCTCCCCCATGGTATAGCCCCTTTTTTCACTGTATTTGATGTTGGTGCCCTGCCTCTTGTATATACACTTCTGTAATTTGGGGAGGGGAAGGAAAAAAACAAAATGCTTAAATAAGGATGCAGATTGATCCATTGTAACAGATATACAAAACACTATGTTGAAAGTGAACTTTACAACTTTGGCTGGGGGGAGGGGAGGGTAAGTTTGGAGGTGGGAGGGAAGGGATGGTAGGGGGAAAACAAAGGAGGAGGCAACAATGCTCAATAGGAAATGTACTCATTACCTTGCTCATGTAACTATAACCCCTCTGTACAGCATTTTTACGATCAAAAACATACAAAAAATAAGAAGGAAGTCAGACAGAAGAACTATTCACAGGTAGGAAAAGATAGAGTTTCTGGGCCACGAGGAATTAGGCATAGTTTAGTTCATGTACACTAAGACCTTAGTTTAACCAGAGAAGGTGAGGTACCATAAGTCAAGCCTCCTCTACCTTACCTTACCTTCAGGTCACCCCAAGATCACCTGGGCCTCCTCAGCTAATTTGTATTCCTGAGAATTTACAAGTTGTTCTTTAATGTAATAATGCTCTCCCTCACCCCATCTCCCTTTTAAAGTCAGCTAGACAAGGACGAAAAAGTTCACCCAGATAAAGACCACTCATCTGAGCCGCAAAATACTGAGCTGCCCTGTAGCCAACCTCCAACATCTCACTAGATTTCCTAACAGAAGCCTCTGGCAAGATGAACATTTTCACTTCACTGCTTTCTTAGGATTTAGTCATTAAAACAATATTTCAGTACTTGTACAAAGTCTTAGGGGTTTTGTTGTTGTTGTTGCTCTTTCTTTACCTTGTGGTAGGAAACATAGTGAAGTCAAAGACCTTGATTCAAACCTAACCTTGTAACAGGTATGACAAGGCTTTCAAGAAATTATTTCCAAGTACCTGTGCTCAATTTTCTCATGCCAAAATGGGGGTATTTATTTCACAGGATTATTTACAATATCAAACACAAATAATGGATATTTCTGCCTCAGGAAGGGCTTGTTTGGCATACAACTGATAATCAGTAATGAGAAATTGAATATATTGTAGACTCACATCTATAAAACTTTTACAAACCATCGTTAGTAATATGTAGAAAACAGACAGAAGGGAAGGGGTTTGTTCAAAATCATGCCAGAATCTAAACCCTGTTTAAAGAAGAGTCCTTATCTTCAAATTTTTTGCTTAGCTCAGCTTTCACTTACTTGCTTACTCTGTGCTAACTTTGCCTCAAAATAGGAATCCAAACCTGGCTGCTGTTAAGGGTCGGAGTTCTCCATTTATGTAATCTTCACACAAAAAGCCTCTGCAACATGGGGGACAGATGAGCAAGCTGTTTCTACGGGACAGCGAACTACACTCAGACCTAGGATCATCCTGGAAACCATGCAGCCAGTGTGATCCTGGCTATTTTGGCGACAGGGAACAAAAGGAGCCTGTGGGCTCCTGTAACTTCCCAGTGCACCGACCAGACTTCCTGAAACTTCTCAGCCATGGCTACTGAGTCTAAGCCTCCTAGAGCTCTCCAGCAACCAGCTGAATAAAGGTTTGCCTAGAAAGCCAGGTGATGCGGTTTGGAAAGAGAAGAGAAAGCTTACCTTTGCCAGAGAAAACCCTTCATTCCATACTCATGTCAGCGGCCCACTGTGCTGAACTGCAGACCCCGGCCTGCGCCTGCCAGCCCTGTGTACTCAGTATCCTGGGTTACCGGGACTTCCTCATGAATTAAATCCTCCGGGACTCCCGTCTGGCAGGGTTACTGGGGGTGACAGGGTGGGGGAGGGGACAGTGCTGGGTGCCCTCTTTTCCTGAAACCAAAACTACTGGAATGTCCTGTTCTGGGGCCCCGGTTTGGCACAAAACCTGGGATGGTTCTTTGACCATATCCGGGTGTGTTCCAAATCCCGGTTTGGATCTCCAGAGGAATTACAAGGGGGGTGGGCTGCATTTCTGTTCTGCTGCTTGAGCCTTTGCTAAGCAGGCTTGAGAATGCAAGGTCCCTCAGTGGCCAGCCAAAGCCTGCAAGCGATTCAAACAGTTCCATTGAAGAAATTCGCAGGCTGAATGTGTTAGCTCAGTGGTAGAAATTATTTTTTAAGGGCCCTAAAAATGTAGGGTGAGACAGGAGTCTGGAATTTTAAAGTCAAAGGCCATCCTGATCCTGCTAGAAAGAAAAAGCAGTGAAAAGTCTCAGGCTTGGTTGAAGTGACCTACATCCCAACTCTCCTGGCTCTCTTTCCCAATGATCTATAAAGCTGTGGCCAGACCCTTTGCTCTGGGCCTCTTTCTATTTATACATGACATCCTTGAACTGGATATGGATCCTCCCATCTCTGTAAAATTACATACCTAGGATTCATTCCATGAAGAAGGCACAGTCTGAATGTGAGGAGTTGAAGAGGAAGGCTTTACTAAGATGCAGAGTAGAAAAAAAGAATGAGTAGAGAGTAATTCCTGAAGATAAGGAATCACATCCACCCATCAGGCCCAGGTATAGGACAGGGAGGATGGCGTTTCTATCACCTGACATCCTTACTTTGTGAAGAGATCTTGACTAGGAGGAGATACTGTTCTTCAGGCAGGCTGGACACATTTTCCTCTCATGCATATGAACTGCCTGGAGCAGGGCCCAAGAAAGAGGATAGTCAGAAGACTGGAAATTTCACAAAGCTGATAGGGCAAAGTCTGGGTCATAAACCTCTAGAGAGTTTAGGGCACTCAGACACTAAGGAACTGCCACACACAATGCAGCCCTGATCATGCAGATCATGGTCAAGGGAAGCTGGATAAGGCTACCACAGCACCTGGGGTTATCTGCCTGGCACAGATGTGGACCTTGAAGCTGGAGGGAAAAGGTGGATCCAAACCCATTAACCTGGGATCCAAGTCCAGGCTCTAAGGCATTTATGACAGGGAGGGGAAGGGATAGGGCTCTACTCTGACTCATGAAGCACAGCAAAAAGAGGTCATTACAGACGCTCTTGAGTCAACACAGTAAGACTGCAGGAGGCCAGCTAGGTTAGATTTCCTGGCCTCTATTATTTATTCACCAAATTTCACTGAGAGGACACACAGTATCCACCTCTCCTGCACACCTTGGATGCATTTCTGATGACTTCTCTTGAAGGTCACTTAGAAAACATTTTTAAGTTGACTCCTGTAGACCACAGCTTGGCAAGGTTTTCTGGTAAGCATCACAATAAATATTTTGTTTGCAGATTATACAGTTTCTGTAAGTTGTAACCACTCCAATCTGTAGTTGTAGCTCTTCATTTGTACCTGTATGTCAATAAATATCATTTCAATAAAACAAACACCAGGCAAGATTTCGTCCATGAATTAAGTAGCTCAACAGCTGCTGACAGACTTTCTTTTTACAACATAATGTCTGAAATATGGCATTTTTAAAAGCATGGAAAATAGAATAAAATATTCTTGATTAAAATCTCAACTGTAGCATTTCCTGATTTGACAACCTTAGAATAATATTTACTTTTTTTTCGTATACCAAAGCTTGAACTCAGGTGCCTCCCACTACCTGGACTTGCTCACTCAGCTTATGCTCCACTATTTGGGTAACATTCCAGCCTACATATTTTTGTCTGTCATGGCGCTTGAACTCAGGGCCTGAGTGCTGTCCCTGAGCTCTTCAGCTCAAGGCTAGTACTCTAACACTTGAGCCACAGCTCCACTTCCAGTTTTCTCGTGATTAATTGGAGATAAGAATCTCATGGACTTTCCTGACTGGGCTGGCATTGAACTGTGATCGTCAGATCTCAGCCTCCTGAGTAGCTAGGATTATAGGCATGAGCCACCGACGCCCCGCTCAGCCTACATTTTTGACAGGTTATTCTGGAGATGGAGTCTCTTAGACATTTCTACCTAGGCTGGCTTCAACCAGAGATTCTGCAGGTCTCAGCCACTTAAGTAGCTAGGATTACAGATACGAGCCACCAGTGCCTGGTTATTTATTTTTAATCTTTCCATTTTTATCTCTGTAAAATAGTGATTAGAGGCCTGTTCAATGAGGACTGAAATAAATATACACATGAAACATATATTGACACATTGGCATATAGCAATAGACTAAATTGAGGGTTATTTTAATTTTTAATAAATAAATTGAAATTATATAATATAACTTGTATTAATTCATAGCAAAATGTTATTACGAATCCTGGCTTTACATTGTAGTATTGTAGTACTAAAGAACCTTCAGCGATCCTGAACAAATAACTTTGTCTCTCTGATAATCACTTCCTTTTCTATAGAATGGGAAGGGAATCTACATTTGCTTTTTCCCAAATTAACCTTGGCAGCAGAACCCATTCCCCCATCAGTATCTTAGCAAACACTCACCACTAATGGAAGATGAAAGTGAAGCTGTTCTAAGCAACTGTAGGGCAGGGAGGGGAAACGAGTATGGCTGAGAGGACCCAGCGACCTTCCCAGATGGTGTGCCTTCCCTTCACATGTACTCATCACAAACACCGCAGAGCCTGTGCACCTCAGATTTCTCAGGACCCTCAGATGAGCTTGTGCTGAGCAGTTCTTGAAAACAAAGGGAAAGGAGAAGATGTAGAGAAGGGGTCTCCAAGAGCTAACCCTCTGAATCCAGAGGCATCACAGACCAGACCACATCTCTGAATCCACAGACTTATCATTTCACACCTCCCCCTACAACACACACACACACACACACACACACACACACACACACACACACACACACACACACACACAGTGATGTTATTCTAGTAGAGCAAATATTAAACTCCTTAAGAGTGACAGGACCCCTTCTAATCTTTTCAGTGCAACTGATTTAGGCCTTGCCTAAAATGTATGCCTCTCTTGCCAGAGTTCAGTGTGTTATATGCTTCCTCTTACCTCCATGCCTCCTTATATACTGTCCCATCTAGCTCAAACACTTTTTTCCTATTTCTCCTCTCATTCTTCTTTTGGTTCTCGGTTTAGAAATTCCCTCTCCAAGAGATGTTCCCTGACTGACTTCCTGTGGGTCTGGTTTACATACTGCTGTCATGTGCTGAGTCACTCTGTTCATCAAATATAATTGACTGAAATTCTTTATCTGCCTTTGTCCACAGGCTATAAGCAAAGCGCTGGGGTCAAAGATCACATATTTCTTGCTTTCCACTGTAGTCTCCTAACTTAGTACAGAATTTGAAATACAAATAGAAATAAATAAATATTTATCTGATGGATACATGTATGCATGATGAATGCCAGCATGAATGAGATGGCTGGACTTCAAGGACACTAAAATCTTAGTAGAAAAGAATATACATATATATATATATATATATATATGTCACACACACACACACACACATATATATATACATATATATATATGGCCTGACAATATTAATGTTTGGCCAACAAGCCATGTTTTCAAGGCATATGTATATGGCACTGCCATGCCCCTGGGTTGTTCAAATTAACAACTGACTGAATCCTGTTCCTATGCCCAAAATCTCTTGTGCCACACTGGTTTAGAAGAATGGGAAGGAGCTGGAGGTGTGGCTCCAGTGATAGAAGTCCATCCATACAACCAACCCAGATGCACTTCATTAGATAAATGGATCAAGAAAATGTGATATATATACATATATATATATATACACATATATATGAATTCTGTGTCTCCATCAGAAAGAATGACACTGCCACATTTGTTAGCAAATGAAAAGACTTGGAAAAATTATATTAAGTGAAGTAAGCCAGGCCTAAAGAAACATAGGTTCCATGGTTTCCCTTATTTGCAATAACTAGTACATGTCTAGGACAAGCAGCAAAGGTCAAAAGCTATGTATATATGAGCATATAAGATGATGCTATGCAAAATGACAGGGTCACGAGTGTTTTTTTCTTTCTTGCTGTTGTTTTTAATGCATTTATAATGTACCATGTGATTATTTTTGTTTCTTTTGCATGTTCCTCCCCCACAATATAACCCCTGTTTACACTGTATTTGATGTCGGTGCCCTGCATCTTGTATATACATTTTTCTAATTTGGGAAGGGGAAGGGAAATAACAAAATGCTGAAATAAGGATACAGATTGACCCATTGTAACAATGAGATGTACAAGACACTATGTTGAAAACGAACTTTACAACTTTGGGGGGGGGAAGGAGGAGTTGGGGAGGTGGGGAGAGAAGGGATGGTGGGGAAAAAACAAAGGAGGAGGTAATAATGCTCTATAGGAAATGTACTCATTACTCATGTAGCTGTAACGCCTCTGTATAATATTTTTACAATAAAAATATATACAAAAAAAAAAAGAATTCCATCCATTCGTAAGCTGAATGAGCATGAGGCCCAGAGTTCAAGTCTGGAATCAGAAAAGCATGGACGGTATTTCAGTTGCCTCCCAAGGTTCTTAAAAGGGTTACATTTAAAGGGTTTATATTCTGGGTAAGAAAACCAGGTCAACTTGTACTTGATGAGAAAATTCTTGGCAAAATAAAATTGTAAATCCCCTGAAATAAAGGCTGGATTTGTAGCTCAGTGGTAATGTTTACCTACTTCACCTTGGATTTGATCCCTGGCACTCAGGCAGGGGGAAACCTGCCTACAGCATCATTTGCAACTCTGCTTGGATATCTAGTAACTGAAAGCTCACTAGCTCCCAAACAAGTCATTCCAACTCTAGATGAATTTTCTTTATATTGACTGACCAAACATGTGCCTTCATTGTTGTCTTTTCTGGAAAATTCAGGATTCCTGAGTAAAAA